TCTGTATGGCGCGGGTTCGCCATTTTGCATATGGTGGCCGTTATGGCGGTAACGGCTATTAGAGAATAAATAATAAATACTTTTATTAGTTGTATTGAGTTAGTTTTTCTGTTTAGGCTTTGTTATTCTCTTTGTTGTAATTCTCTATATATGTAACCAACAGCACAATGTGCAGTTTACCTTTTCAATAATATTCACTTCTAAAATTCAGTTTCTCCTATATGGTATCATCGTGAGCTCGGTGCGATCTTGGACCTCTTTGCGTTTCTCTTGCGCTCTTCTTGTCGTTGTTTTCTCACGCCGCCGTGTTGCGCCGCCGTGTTGTGCCGCTGTGTTGCGCCTCCGCGTCGCGCCTTCGTGTTGTGCGTTTCTTTCGCTGTCGCCTTGCGTCTCTTTGCCGTTGCTGTTTCTTGACGGAGCGTGTGTTGTGCCTCCGTGTTGCGCCTCTGTGTCACGCCCTCGTGTTGTGCGTTTCTTTCACTGTCGCGTTGCATCTCTTGCTGTCGCGTTCTCTCGACGAAATGTTTGCTGTTGTTTTCGTCGTTGTTTCTCTCGTCACTGCGCTGTGTGTTTGTTGTTGCTTTCTTACGCCATCGTGTTGCGCCTCCGTTGTCTTCTTCGTCGCAACGATTCTCTCGTCGTCGTGTTCGGTGTTATCTTCTTCGTCGTAGTGATTCTCTCGTCGTCGTGTTCGGTGTTGTCTTCTCCATCTTTTCCTTTGATTCTTGAAATCAATTTCAATGGCTTCCGCTTCTGCAACCTCTACTCAAGCTTCTGCTAGTATCAATAATACCTTCTCTCAAACTGTTACTTGCAAGCTTGATGAGAAAAATTTCATGACCTGGCAGCAACAGGTCACTGCTGTCATTCGTGCTCATGATCTTGAGCGTTTTGTTGTCAATCCAAAGATTCCGATGAAGTATATCACCAGTGAGGATCGTGATGAAAATTCTGTGAATCCTGAGTACACTGCATGGGATCGCAAGGACTCACTTCTGTTCTCCTAGCTTCTAACCACACTTTCAGATTCGATTCAAGCGCGTGTCGTGTCTTGCCGCCATTCATATCAGATATGGGATATGGTTTTTCAACATTTTCACTCTCTTACCAAAATCAAGGCTACACAACTTCGTCTGGAACTTCGCACTATAAAGAAGGGCACAAGGACTTGCTCTGACTATTTGCTTCGCATCAATACTATTGTTGAGATTCTTGCTTCCATTAGAAGTCCTGTGTCCACCAGAGAACATGCTGAATGTATCATTGGAGGCCTTCCACTTGAATATGATTCACTCATCTCCACAATCACTGCCTTTGTTAGTCGTGATGATGTTCTTTCTCCTGCTGAACTTGAAACCATGATTCTTTCTCAAGAAGCACGACTAGAACAGGCTAGAACGGCGATCATTCAAGAACCTGTGACTATTAATGTAGCTCAAACTACTTCCGTTGCAAATGGAGCTCCAAATGTGAATTTAGCATTTCAGCAACCACAAATGCCAAATTCACAGCCCAACACCTTTCAACATTCCTCTTTTCCTTCACAAGGTGGATTCAATATCTTTTCTGGTCAGAATCGTGATGGAGGTTGTGGTCGAGGTGGTGCACGTGGTGGCAGAAATCGTTCATCTGTTCAGTGTCAAATTTGTCACAAACGAGGACATGAGGCGTCTACTTGTTACCAACGAACCAATGGGCTGCCATTTGCTGGATATGGGATGCCTTTTGGTTCAATGTTTTCCTCTTATCCTACTGCTGGTTTTGGCTCTCAGAATGGTTACGGGACTCAGAACTTTGGCTTCAGCCCATCCTTTCTTCCCAATCCTGGTCCTGTTCCTTATTCTGGGTCTGTTAACATGTCTGGAGCATCATGATCGGCACAGTGGCAAGAACCCAGGATTTGATGGTTAATTCCACCGTAAACAAAACCGGATATTATGGAAAGGGTAGAAGTACGATTTAATCTTTTTTTTTTTTAAATTAAAGCTAACAATATGTTACCTATAGTGAAATTATAATTAAAAATAAATATATAAAACATAAAATTATGTTTTAATTTTGTTTGGAAAATTATACTCGAGCCTAAACATCTCTTAAATTTATACGATATTATATTTAATAACTATTTTTTTTTCAATCTTAATTTTTTCTTCTTCTTAATTTGTCATCACCGCATGACTTGTCTTGTGTGGAATACTTTTTATATTTTAAAGATATTAAATATACTTATTTTTTTTATATAATATTTTGTATAAAGTATTAAGAAGATTAAAAAATATAACGTTATCATATAAAATGAAACAATCTTAATAAAGTCAAAATAAATGAAAAAAAAACATTAAATGAGATAGAACTGAACTTTAAAAATATGAGTGTGATGAATTAACTTATTTTTTTATTATATAATTAAAACAATCTTTATTTTTTATTTATTAATTCATAGTTATAAAAACAAATGGTACTATACAGTTCATATAATTCTAGAATTATATACGTGAGAAGTAACTATTCTATCTAGGTTAAAATTATTATAATATTATTAAATAAATTTTATTCAATAATTTTGTTATTTATATATAAAAATAACAAATACAAAAAATTATACACATATCTTACATTAACCCATTTAAAGCTGAATTCTATAACATCACACAAGAAAAATTTAGGTCGTGTTAAGGTTAAGTTTGATGTGGGTCACGCACTAAAATACAGCAAACTATATCGACATTTTAATAGCAAAATATATATTTATTTAAAAAAATTAAAATCCACGAACCCTTATAAAAATAATTGTGACACCTTCTTATAGAGAAAATTGACTAACAAAAGGTACAGCTCTTGGAATTTCTAAGTTATCAACTTGTTCTAAAACTCATGCACTTCACGATTCTCGTCAAAAGGTATAACATTCGTTTTTTTTCTACATATTCAACACACTCAACTGTTTCTTGCCAACCAATCACTCAAATGAAAATTTCTTTTATTATTGCTCTTATCTCTATTACTATCGCCTCATCAACCATACCATTTAATTATCCTCTACGAATAGAAACAACAAATCAAAAATATTGTAAAACTTTATTGTGGGTGTTCACAAAAATAGAGACTATCCCATCAAGAATATAAAATAGAACAAGTTTGAACAAAGGCAATTAAAATTAAATTATCTGCTACTATTGCCATTACCAAACTATTTATCATCATTATGAAAATAAATGATGGCAAATATATTATACAGTTCTATTCAAAATGGTTAAAAAAAAACGTTGATATAGCCAAAAGATTCCAAGCATATCATCCATGGATAGAAATTAAGGGGAAGGAATATACTGCAAGCTTCAAATAAACAGAAACATAATTATATTCCATCAGTTCAAATTAGGAGATTAATATAAAAATAACAACATTAATAAATAAATTTTCAACTTAAAATAATAAAAATTGATATATATATATATATATAAGTTAATATTTAGTATTAATTCTTTTTAAAAAAATTGTCTTAAG